AATAAAATGCGATACAAAGACAATAAAGATACAAACTTTTATTTTTGGTCGCTTAATCCGAAAAAATGACCATATTTGAAAAAAATCAGCACCTAAATAAAGGCGAGCAAGTCAATGTAGTCAGCGCTAGTTGCTAAGATGCAGAATGTTATACTACATCTTAAATACTAGGCATTTGTGGTTTGAGAATTATACATTAAGACACAAAAAGAGCATATGAGCTTTTGACTGATGGTATGAATTGAATCTCAGAAAAATACAATTGGTACACACGAAATAAAACCTTGTTAGCGTTTTTCTTTGTGTTTAGCTTGATAATCTACAATTATTCACTCAGCCGAATTTATAGAAAGCAATATTTTATTTTCTAAATACCATAAACTGGCACCCAGCATTGCTTAGTTTGGTCCGATAGGAGACCACTGAACACACTTAACTAGATTCTAGAATAAATTCCATCAAATTCCGCAAATCTAGTCCACACCACTTCCACAAACTGGCTCTGAACTTCACATTTCCACAATATCTAATCAATACAACCCCTTCAATCACGCAGTGAAAAATCTTTTTTTTACAGAATCAAATAAAAGTTTTAATGAATGACGTGAAAAGTGTATTTACTCGGCTTAAATTTTTCATGTAGACTTTCTTACTGGGGTTTTCTCTTCAGTGTTTTGCGTATTCTTATAATATGGGAATCTTTTCCTACTTTCCTCCTGATGATTAATACGATTAAAAGTCCAAAGTTATTGAATTTCATAGAAGCGGCACACTGGTTGACACAAGATATTTTGGTAGTCAGCAGGTGAGCAATTCTTCTTTAAACCCACGTTAGAAACTTTCAATATGAGAAAACGTAACACAAACATTGTCGGGAATATTTTTGCACGATATCATGTCACTGTATCATATCAATAGGAAATGAGAGAGAGATGAGAGATGTGAAATGGAATATTTTGGACTTCCATTGTCTTTATTATTTATTTCTACAACAAGTCGCAAATGATTTATGGTGTGCAACATGGAGGAATTTCAAACAACTGCAGATGAATTCCAACTAATTGCAAAGGGATCCCGAAGTATTCCAGCGGGGTTCCAAGAAATACCACAAAGAATCCCGAGAATAACGAACTACTTACCAATTCCAAAGAATTATATGGATCGTAATGTAATCGTCATCGTACACTCTGTTACTGAATTTTTAAATCAGCAAAAATTCCATTGTTGTTTTCACCATAAAAACCGCAAAACCGGAAAAAAGAATATACCTAACAAACAAACCATCAATGGCCACACAAAAACAGAACACATCTAGGCACAAAAGGAAAACATTTGCATGAAATTCCATAATATAAACCCAGGTTTAATTCGAACATAATAATGTAAAGGGAGTGTATCCGTTAAAAATATAAATCAATTCAATATTGGTCGCTCCAGTGAAAAATTGTTTTATTCCAAAATGCATTGTCATAAATCAGGAGTATACGACTTACGAGTAAGAGAATTTTTTTCCCAGTAGACGTCCATGATAAAAATTCATGCGGATGCGTAAGATTGTGGGTAATTCGGATGTGGTCATCGAAATCGACTTCTTTTTAAATGGAAATGTATATTAGGATACTTTTAGATTTTATGACTCCTGTTACTGTCTCAAGCTCTTTCGCAAACATTTTTTTTTTTAGAAAATATTTCCAAAACTTCTATTTTGAAGGCAACCATGATCTGTCATGCCCGTAGCCCAATTTTTTTTTAAACGTCATTTTTTTTAATTATACATGTGCATCTAATAGACCGGCGGTGGAGGATAGGAGATGAAGCGAGGGCTGCAAAATTAAATATTTTCATTGAAATTTCGAGAGAATAAAGGAGACATCAATCGAATTTCCAAAAAAAATTGCATATTTACGTTCCTCGGTCAATTTTCGTTAATTTTGTTTTTGATATTTAGCTAAATCCACTAGATTACTTTAATGGCATGTTTTTACTATTTTTGTTTAAATACCACCCTGCTGAGAAGTAATCCTCGGACCAATCTTGGCTGACCCCCTGTACAAAATAGATAAATATATTTTAAAGAATTGTTGAAACCCTAACTTGTAACATATTTTGCCGAAATGAAACCGTGTGAATTATATTTTTTGACAATTTAATACCATTCGATACGAAAAATTGATTTAAAATCTGTAATTCGATAAGAAATGTAAGACATGATTGCTCACATGGTTTTTATTTACTTGAACTATGTAAAAATGTTATTCTAACCCAATTTTCAATGTGCAGAAACATGGTATTAAATGGACCTTCGTATAGGAATATTGTTATGGTAAATATCTGTCTTTGATTTTTTATGAGTTTCTATGTTTTTATCCGTGTGCTACGGACAAGAAGGCTGTAGAAGTTAACGAATTGGAGTTTCCAAATGCTCACCTTAATATCGAACTCTATGCGTAAACAACCGTCTAAAGTAAGAGCAGGAGAATGCATTCGCCATATTGCTTCAACAAATAGATCGTAACTTAGATTAAACGCAGTTAGAATTCTGCTCGATAAAGCCCAGGCTCTATATAGTGAAACCCCTCAAAACTCCGACCAACACCCTCAGGAGCGCTAATATCCTCCCCCTCTATGACCGCCAACATTTGCACGAAATGAGAACTGGAGATGAGTTCGATTAAAACAATGGAAACCCGTTGGACCCTCCAGAGGGGCACACACTACATCCCTTACGCCACCCGCAACCTCCCCGCACCGCCTCGTCCGCTCACATTAGTTTGAGCTTAGTTAAAACGCGATGGATTAGGATTTCGGCTTAATATTATAGAGGGAAAATAGAGGCGGGCACTCGAGCTCTGCGATGGAATTTCTTTTGTATGCAAAATTCCTGAGAAATTCGCCACGATGTGTTTGGATATACATTATGGCGGATTTGTGCTGTTTGAGAATTGCGATTGCGAATTTCACAAATGGATTCCGGTTTGAAGACAGAATGTCGCTAGGTCGTTTTGCCTATACATATATATTATACAACAAGTTTGATAAATTATATTTTCGTCACGAGTTTCATGTTAAGAGTTTTATGTATTTTTTAGCGTTAGTCATAGTCATAGTACCATCAGTTATTGTGAGATATCTACTAGGGTCGCAGCTGGTATGCAAAAATCGCAAAAAAAAAACTAAAGTCGTTTTGTAGCATAAAAAGGAAGAAGATATGGAAGTATCGACGGGTTAGTTAGTTAGATGCAGCCAGTAAAAGTATATGTTTCTATTTAGTAACTTTTTAAGTTTGCATATTGGTTCCAAAATTTTACACCAAAGACCTCAATAACATTGGAAGTAATACAATCGTCAAAACAAGATTCATATTTTGTGGATAATTATGGCACTGAATTACACCGGAACCCGGCAACTTTTTTTCTTGTCCACTTCAGTATTGAGGGCCTGTCACTTGCTACCCATTTGTTCTTAAGTAATTGGCAAATATCCAATTAGAATGTATTAAATGTGAAAAACGTAACTTACGACGAAAAATATTGAATAATCCGTCATAATTAAGTCAACTAAAGTTTTAGACTTACGTAGGTTAAGTCGATAACATAATAAAATAATACATGATATTCTTTATTGACTACCTCTGTAATGCAGTGAAGTAGGCGACATCAAACGTAAGTGGAACAAAAATTTTGCAATTTACAATTCATACATTAGATTGCTTACAAGTCTACTTCCTAGTCGATTGAAACATTCGCCTATATTTAACAACGTTGACCCTAAGCCCTATATACCACTTTTCCCAAAATTTTTGAGAATATTGTTCTAGAACATTCTTTTAAAAATATTACCGTGGAGGAGCTGCATGAGTTTGTAGAGGGGTGATTCACTGTCACCAACCTATATGTCTCCAATAATTACATTGGAGAAGCTATCTATAAGGCAGTTGCATAAAGTGTATACCGATTTTATTGAAGAAACTTAGTTTGCTGTTAGTGGTTCCCTATACTCTTGGTTCAGCCCTTCCTCTCCAAGTTTGACTACAGGGTTTGCTATCTACTCTGGTTAGTGTGCTTCTGCTGTCCCACAAGGATCACACCTGCGCTTAAATTTATTTTTGCTCCTTGTAATCGATATAGGAAATAATTTAATAAAAAAAATAATAAAATTATAGGTTGATGTAACCATAAAATCCATATAAAACGGATGCATGATATTCCTGAAAATTTTCTTAAATATCGACAGTACAAGACTTCTTTAAATGTGTTCCAAAGAATGACTTAGTACAACTTGGCCATACTGTAGAATAGAAAAGAATATCTGGATATGGTTTTCTTTATTAAAATTACTAATATCGTAGTTATTTCACCTTAAATTCTGAGCATCATAAACTGTTATGTTTCAGCAAGTGATCTTACACACTCTTATCCAACGATTTTAAGAGCGGCCATAATATGGTGTATAGTAGTTATTTCGCCAAGGTATGCAGAAGCCCTTTTAAGTCTAAACGGAAGTCTGCCAGGTGCCAATCAATTGTGATGTTCAATTGCTTTTTCATTATAACCACTTTAATCGGTAAACAAAATAGAACAATTTCATTAATTTAACCTTAAGTAGGAAGAGTGCCGACTTTAATTTGCATATTTTGTATAATTTCTGGAGGTGTAACATAAATAATTATGAATTTTTGTGCTGTATTCAAAATGTTCAAGTTATTTTTGCCCTTTCTATTGGTATGCGAACTCTACCTCCCTCTGTCCCTAAAATTATTATTTTTAAAACAGCATCAGTCAAATTTGAAATGCATTTTATAAGCGCGTTAGAGGCTCATAAAATATAGTTTTCTCTGTTTCCAAAAAAATTTTTTTTTATAAATGAACATTTTGCGAATTTGCATTAAATGGTAGTGGACAGCCTGTAATGAGATATATGACAGTATAACTACAAACCAGAATGAGAATTTTAGGCATAGCTTAAATTCTTAGACTTTTTACATTAAGGGCTGAATATCCTGGGAGAGGACTCTTCTATAATATAGAACCCTAATAACAGGAGAACATGAAAAGAGAACAATAAACATTTGTGTCACTTAATTTTTTATTTAAAATATAAATTTATACTTTGGTTAGTCTTTGATCTCATTTAATCATTTTTGGGATTCATTCTTAATTTTAATTTTGAATTTTTTTTTATCCGATATGTTATCATTAGAACAATCTTAGAACGAACCCAGATCTAATCCCAGTAACGATTATGTACAGCAAAGACAGGTTTGGTCCCACCACCGAACCCTGCGGGATGCCAAAAGAACTGACTTTCTCTAATTATTGTAAAGAATATACTATATAAACATGTACCACAAATACTTCTTAAATTTGTATAAAGAATCACATTTGCGTTACAATCAGGAGTTTCCAATTTCAAATCTTTTTTATGAACACACTTTCGGGAAGAGAACCACTTCACTGACGCATGCCGCCACAACGCAAATTACGTAAGTTATCAATAGTACAATTCCTATAGTCCTAGAGAGCCGAAATTTGTTGATAAACATCGCGACATACAAGAAGAACGCAGCGAATATCAGGGCCATTACCGTGTAAGCTATTGTACTGGAATCTATATATATGTAGGAATGTTCATTGGTGCCCATCAGGATCGTCTTGAAGAACCAAGGCAGTCCAAGAGAAAAGAGCACATTCATGGAATTGGCACCAAGGGAGTTGGATATACCCATCTTGCCTTCACCTGCAAAAAAACTACATCATTTACTCTTGTATCATGGGTTATAAAATGATAAAATGAGATGGATGACGGATTCAAGAACACAAAACTTCATTCTTGAATTCTAAAAATGACTCTAATTATAGTAAACATTTAATAGAAACAGGACATTCCTTCAATAACGATGTTAAAATATTACATAGTCAAGGCAAAAGCAAAAAACTTAACTTATTAGAAACAATAGAAATTAATAAACTGAAATATACAAGTTTGCTACTAAACGATCAAACCGACTTAAATAATTCTCCCCTCTTAAACCCTTAGATAAAAATTCTAGCTACTGTATGGATAGTCTATAATCAACCCTGTGATAGTTAGTTTAGAGATTCTTTCTGAAGAAGGTATAGTGTACCGAAACAACTGTCAAAGCAGTAAACATGTGTGTGGTAATCTTAAAGCAAGTGTTTGTTTTTATTAAATTCCTTATAAAATATTCAAATTTCCGTATATTTCCATTTACATATGCCCTGCATGTCATTTTATTTTCGAAAAACATGCGATAAATTAATCCAAATTATCATAAATATAATAAAACATACAAAAAAAAACAAATACGGAGTCTGCAAAGTGTTAGCCCAGAGGAAGACATATAATCTGCTGTTGTTAATGAATACGTACAATAAAACAATTAGTGCTACCTTTTCTGGAAAGAAGAGCAAGAGATACTGATTCTGGCAGTGATCCCCCAGCTGCTAACACCGTCAACCCTTGAACTGCGGGTGGAATACCCAGAGTTGTACCTTAAAATGTAATGACTTTGAAGAATAAACTGTTACGGATATAACAAAGTGCGCTCACCAATGATGGTAATCATCCACGTAACTACATAAGAAATGAACGCAAACCAAATTACACATATCACAAATGTGATCGGAAAAAGTTTGGGATGTTCCTCAGGATCGGGTGTTGTGTAAAGAAGAATAACCCTGATTGGCCAACAGTAGAAGAAGATAAATTTGGTCCAAATCCCTCCTTGAGGAATTTTAAAGATATCATTCTCCGTCTCTTCAGACGACTCCACTGTCTCTTTATTGTGGTGTTTTATCTCTAATTCGTCTTTTTCGACCTGGTAACTGTTGCCAGGGTTGCCGGAAACATCATTTTTACTTTGGAATTTTGCTGCAAGTTTTTTAACAAATCGGGATATTCTGGGGTTTTGGAACATGATTACAAAATAAACGAGGAAAGCCACGAATAAAGCTATCCCTTCGTACCAATATATGTATCCATCCCATATTATTCCTGCTAATAATGATACTGTTATCATGTAAACGAAAACATCTCTGGTGATTGGCCACCAATCCAACTGAATTTTCTGAAACGAAAAGAAAGTAGAATCATCAAACGCCCTAGTATTATAATATTTACTTACTGAAATAGCTGCTAAGGATCCTATCGCTGCCGCTCCTAGTGAATTGAACATAGAAGAACCTACTATGGTACCAATACCAAGTTCGGAATTCGTTACAAAGGTAGCTATAATATTGGTAAATAACTCTGGGCATGATGTTGCTATGGACATGAAGGTGGCTGCAGCCACATCCTAGAAACAAGTGTAATGAGTACTGATTTTTAATTATAAGGTTCATAATATGTTTACCGGGGAGAGATGTAACACTTCACATAGGTGTTCGATAGCGGGTAAAAAATATTTATCGCATATTATAGTCAGCAGCGTAAAAAAGTACATAATAATCAATACACATATTATGATGCCACCATTCTTTTGCTGCTGTGGTGTGAGAAAGGATGGAAAATTGTCTTCCTCGTTTACACAAGTGAAGTTCGAATTGTTTGTTGTATTGAAAGCGTAGTCTCTGTAGAATATGCAAAAAAGTTGTTAGTTTCCTTTTTAATGGTAGACCAATTTAGTGCTAACCTTGGTGTAGTTTCGGGCTCCAAGTTTTCTTCCTTTGCATATATTTCGTTATGCTGTCCCTGAACTATACCTGGAATATTTCTTAGCTGACTTACTGGGTCGAGGAAGTTAAAATTAGTTTTAGGAAAGAACATTTTAAAAACATTTGTATCGCTATTGTAACTACTTGTATACCTCGGTGTATATTATACAGTTCATAGTATTCTCGACGATTTTTTAAATTATAATCCCTAATTGTTAATGTTTGTTTTTAGTGCCCCACATACATTGTAGAAATAGGATGATTTAAGATTCAGTGGAAGAATGGGAGTTGCTTGTATATTTCCAATTATAATTATTTAAATTATTTTTCTACTCCCTTTTGTAAAATACCTAATCATACACCGATCTAGCGTGCGGAAAGTGATATTTTACCACGAGAGTTTCTTGTCCTACGGATCCGAGCCACTTCGGAATTTGCTGGATTTTACGGCACAAGTTTGGGAGGAATCCGATGTTTTCTTCTTTCAATTAAAATTAACATGACGAATAGCGTTATTAATATTGACTTTATAATATAATTTTTTTTATTAAAGATCAGTAACAGAGCTACTTATTATTATTATATTATTAGCTATTATTATTATTATTGTTATTAGTTATGGGAGAATCACCGGAGTTGTTAAAAAAAGTTGAAGGAGAATAAACATATCATTGCTCACTGTATAGATGTTTATTAATTTAGTGCCGATACTTAAGAGTGTGTATCTCTCGAAGAAGGAAAGTGAGTATCGCAAACGTAACAAAACAACTTTTTATCGTATTTTTCCCATTTTATGAAAATTCAAGCACATTTAAAAAAAAAGACGAGTGACGCCCGTAATCGGTTTGATCTGAATATTTTTGAAGAAAGTCAATGACACACCATTGCTTTTCCCAAAACTTTAAATTTTTCATTTTGACATTGAAAGTTTGGATAAAAAATGTCGATATTAACTTTTCTCATTAAAATTACCCAAGAATTTACGTCGGTACCATTTCATAAACACCCTATATTGACTATCAATTGGTAATACATGCGATATTATACAATTTTTATAACGAAACTTAATTAAAATTTTCTTTCTGCACTAAAACTTTCCTTTTTAAATGTTTAATATTCCGTTAAGAAGGTCACAAAAAGCTATTTACAACGTTGCTAATGTATTCCATGAAAATTTGACATTACTTTGCGAAATTTCTATCTAATTCATTACCATTATTATCATTATCAACTAATGTCATATTTTCTTAATGAAAGATTGATTCGACATATTCATAATTACAGTAAAAAGAATTTTTAAAATTTAAATATTATCGCTAAACACTGTTATATCGACATCGAATCAAATTATTGATATACAATATAAAAGTATTGTTATAAATACAAAAAAAAAACGTTAACGTGGAAATAGCAGAGAAAATTATGAAAAATAACGCTTTACCAATAAGTACGTAAGTAATTTGCCATACCAACAAATTTAAAATTTTGTTTATTAGAAAATTTATTCCGCGATATGCCAAATGGAAATTACGCCACGTGGTTTTTAACGCTTGCACGTGTGTCATTTCTAAGTCTAAATCGAGTGCATTTCCATAAGCATATAAAAAATGTCATTGAACCGGTTCCGTTCTGACGGGACGGTTTTTATCCTGTCAAGGAGATATGTGTTAACAGACGACAATACGCTGTTGGCGATCGGCGCGCCCACATCAAAATAAGGGAATTTTATTTTTGACCGATTCTTTTAAACTCTCAGAGTGTGTAGAAAAAATAGGGCATCAACGGCAACTTACCCGGTACGTGAACGGCCGATGACACCATGCAAAACCAAGCTACCATTAAGAATGTCCAGGGTTTCATTTTCACCGCAAGACTGGACTGAATAACCTTTCGTCGCGAATTTTCAACTAATCGATAAAGGAACAAACGGCTGAAGGTTGTTCATGTATTTTTCGTCTATTTAATTGCGTTACATGCAAATCTCTATAAGTAACTTGTACATTATGATAATCAAGCCATGTGGACTCTAACATTTATGCGTATCTAACGAGCTGTTATCTTTCCTACGTGTAGATATCTTCGTATTTGTCGCGAGACACGTCATATATTTTACCGTTTGATTGTTAAGTTCTTTGGCGATTCACATTGTGAATATTTACGAAACTCGAAAATAAAGCGTTATTTTTGCTAACCCCTATTTGTTTAATCGGTTTGATATTTTTGCAAATAATAATTTTGAATGGCACAAGGTATCTTTCAAACATTTTCTATGTTTTTTCTTTATAATGGTAGAAGTTACTGAATTCCTACAATATACTGCTTAAGAAATCAAAAAATATGAAAGATCTCTGAAATAATCAAATTTAGAAAAAGTTTTTGTTTTTTCATTGCCTTTCCTGCTATTAAATTGTTTGAAATCTATCCTAAATTTCTTTTGTATTAATAAAATATTTGTTATTAGAATTATAAATGTAAAAAAAATATGAAGAAAATCAATTTAATTAATTTCAATTTACAAAAGGTGGAGTTTTCTATGAACTGTGCTTACGGCTGACTAAAGAACGCTGTTTACTAAGAAGGACTGTTGTTTTATAGTAGAATGGTTTTGATATAATTACTCATTTTTGTAATTTATTGGGATTTGTTTGCATATACTTTAATATAATACATTAATATTCCGACATAGTTACTCAACTAGTTTTAGTTTAGAAGTTTTGGTTAGTTTTTAAATAAAAAAATAAATACTTCGTCAAGTGTTTTTAAAACATGCGCTCACCCTCGCCTGCAAACTTCTCTTACAAAAAAAAAACACTAACTTCAATATTTAAAAAAAAACATTTTTTTTACAATCTGTTAAAATACTTTTTGCCCGATTTTGAAGTAATTTGAGAACATTAAAAGTCAACGTAAAATTCTAAAATCTCCAGTGCCTGTCCCTCAGGTATTTTAACGAATAGGATTGTCAAACATATGTGCGCTAACTTTGTTGCAATTTCTGTTATTTATTTTAAATAGGCCAATAGAAAATACCTTTGACCCTAAAGTTAGTTTCGCATCTTACCTCGTTTTCGAGCGAAAACATGAAAAATAACGAAAAGTGACATACATAAACTTATTTTTTAAAAATTAACACGAAACATTTTACACAAACTGTTTCTTTTTATACTATTATCAACGTACGAAAAATATGCATTTTAAAGTCTCGCATCTAACTTTCAACATATTTTTAGTCGCTAGAACATATTGAATAAATCTTTGATTTTTATGGTCAGCTTGTTGCTCTATTTCCTAGCAGTTATGATGACATTTCTAAATGCACAAACCAATGCCTGTTTAAAACCAGTTGAAGCAGTTCCTTACTTTCTTGATGAGCACGTATGTGGAACTTTTCGATATTTATTCGGTGTGCCATGGGTAATTTGTAAAGCCTCTGATGGGAAAACTTTACATATTTACAGCTACAAATGCTGCAATTCAATCTAAACAGCACAAATATTAACACTATATTATTAAATTTGATATCTGAACTGTTGTTTGTGAATATGTATTGTTTTTTGTGTTACAAATTAGTTTTGTTTAGCTTCTTTTCGACTTTTAGTTAACTCTATTCTTGATTTGAGATTCAAAATTAAATTAAATTAAATTGTTGTCGAAAGCAAGTTCATGAGCATTAAGAATAATTATTGGTTTCCACTTTCACTCGCTTCACAACTTTTCTTATTTACACTGTATAACAGCTCGTACCGACACCGAAAGCAACCAAAAATATTATTTGCTTGATTTATATCGTTTAATCCAACATAATCAAATGTTGCATTCACGCAAGTATTTTGGTGGATGTTTCGAAAGCACTTATATTTGTTTTACTAAACCGCACCGCACTTTTAATCTAAATACGTGCCGAGTCGGTACTAGTTTTCTTCGCCTTCTAATTATCTGGCGGATTCCCGCACAAACTATGCGTATTCAATTTTTCATTGTGGAGCAGCAGTTAATAAGACATCTGTTTGTGGTCTTAAATTAAGGTTACGTAATTTTAAGTGCTGGAATTTATGTGGCGCTTATCGGGTATTGCTAATTAGTTGGAAAGAAAAGAATTGCATCCAAAAGCGACGAGAACCTTTATGACACTTTGGAAAGAAATGCTCTATTTAGTATATTAGAATTTTAAATTTCATTGTATAGTTTCCCACAGTCCAAATCTACAAGTACAGTTCGCTGGCAAAAAAATATACCCCTCCAATGTCATGTGTTATTGATGTAAAATTTTTTTTTCAGCAATCTTTAGCAAAACTGCTTAAAATTGAACAACTCAAAACAGTCAAAAGTGAGAAACAGTATCATTATAAGCGGATAATATATAATATAATCATCATAAGTATATCGCATAGGACGTAAAATTGTTGTGTTAGTGATATACCCAGAAGAGAAGACGAAGCCCCTAACTAAGTGAAAATAACACTTTGTTAATTTCGTGTTATATTGTAAAAGCGCTCTTAATTATTCCGGCCTCTGTATCGGCTAGTGCAAATAAAATGTTATTTTGCTTTCTGTCTTAATAAATATTATTAAAAATACTTTCCCAAATTCGGAACATTAGCTTCCTGATGTGAGTTAGTAACCAGTTCAGAACATCGCTGTAACTCTAAGAATGTTTAGTGTTTAAATTTCTACTGGATAGTAATTATTGCTATGAAGTCCAGTGTTACAAAAAAAGCCACTTTATTACGAAATTAATTCAAGACAAATTGGTATGGCTGGTTATTTTTAATATAACGCACTTAAGTAAAATGACGAACTAGTTTAGTAAATTGATTTACTAGTGTATACAAGATTGAATTAAAAAAATCATTTCAATATTTTTTTTAAGCCCAGATCAATGTACACATGGCAATTTATCAACCTTTTCTGTGGCAGGTTTTATTCTTATACGGGACCCTAGACCTATATGGGACCCTCGACCTCTTCTTCCTGAAGCACACTTTCATGCACGCGCCGAGTAGACAGTTGCAACTGGTTAATTTAATGTTGTGATTTAGCCGATTTAACAGCTATACATAAATTAGTATCTTATTTATTAAAAAATTAGTCCATTCAAGGAACAATTTTCAACTATTTTAAACGAAATCCAAGATTTCAAACACTGCCCCACTTTCCAGGAAGATAAAATATATTATCTTTGCTTGCCAAACCAATGTAGCTGTTTTTGTGTAACTCTAACTCTATCCTTTCCAAGGGACCTTAAGTATGCCTGATATTATGGAACACCTTTATAAAATTTAATCTACAGGTAGATCGTGATAGAAAACACTTACTATCTACTATCTCAATACATTTCGTCCCAGAAACTATGCAATTCTCGTTCGTTTATTATTTATTTAACCTAAATCCAATTTCGTATTGTACATTTAAATTTATGCAACAATGATGTAATAGGTTTCAGCCGCGGTCGGAAAGGAAAAAATTTGTTTCTAAAAAATGTGTTATGGATATTGTTTAATTAACATTTTGAAGTCTCTCAATGTACCAACATTTGTCAATATTATGTAGTTTCCGTTATGGACCTTTAAAAATGCTTGTAAATTTATGATAAGCCGATTTTCTCTAACAATAAAAAAAACAGATAATCTCATTGAGAGGAACTTACCAGTTTAAAGGTAAGTAAGTAAGCTCAAAAATTCTGTCATATCTTTTAGGTGTTGCACAAATAGGATATTATGCAACAATATATAATCCTAGAAGAAGGAAGTAAGAATAAGGAGGTCATTATTGTGTATCGTGGCGCATTGCATTTACCAGGAATATTTATTTTTTATATGAAAATGATGTAACATTTCAGAGTTTAATCCCTGAACTCTGTTTTAAATATTGTTTCTATTACTTCTCGTTTCTCATTTATGATTCACTGCCATTCCGTAGCAGATTAAACAGTAAAAAATGTAACGACAGATGAAAAAAATGTCTCCTGCGACACGTGTTCAAAGGAACATTAGCAACCGAAATCACATTTTCTGATTAAACGTGCGAACTGTGAACTTCACGAATTCGGTCGACCCATTTTTCAATGTTCCGCCTGACGGACAGAAGTTCATAAGAAATTTACAATTTTCATTATCAACGGCCATTTGGGAAGTGCAATTTTGAAAACTAGCGGCCCGTTAATAATGAAAAATAATGGTGCATCAGTCTCGAGCGACTACATCGTTAAAATTGATGGGAGTTACAGTTAAATGTTGTGCAACGCGAGGGACGTGAAAGACAAAGAGACGGCAGTTTTGCGGAATGCGGCGTTCGTTATTTTGCTTATCAATTGCATGGTTTAACACAAATGTGGAATTTGATAACCTCCAGGTTTATTTTGATATTGACGATTCCGATCTATCCACATTGATATTGTACGGTTTTTAATCAAAACTAATGAATTTGTTCCGGTTTGCAGGAAAACGTTTTTCGCTACACCTCCAGCGCAATGTGCTTTAACAGGACCTGGAAATTCGGAAATTACTCCATTTCGGTCCTCGCTTGAAGAAAATCGCGTTTAGAGAATTAAAGCTCAACTAAACCGAGAGATTGACACTAAATCGGACAATCTTCTGGTGTCACGTTACAAGTGTTACAAATAGATTTTTTGAGGATGTTTTCTACTCTCTACCCTAAAACATTCAATTATGCATTGATCAGGCGTACGCAAAATGTCACTTTAATACGCCAGCTTTATTAAAAACAGTTTGGGAAACATCCGAAGTTTGGGTTTTGATGGTCACGTCTCACTTTTCCCAACGAATGTGCTGTTTTGCAAAACTGTACCCAAATCTAATTGCCGTATAGTATAGTACGTATAGTACGCAACATGTCTCTAAACTTTAGGCACTCTTTTATTAAACACCCCCTCCGCTATTGTGTATTTAACTCGCGACCAAAGTGTTGTTTATGAAAACTTGTTGCATAATGTACTACCTAATTGAATTAATTTATCTTTCTTCTTTGGACTGGCTAAGTAATTAGTGTTTGTTTGTTGTATTGTGAAGTTATATTTTTT